GTGCTCTCTCTCCCTCTTTCTCTCAAGTAAATAAATTTAAAAATCTTAAAAAAAGAAAGAAAGGAAGAAGCAGAGGAACCTTTAGAAGTTACTTCAGTAATTTGGGCAAGAAATGATGGAAGGTGGCTCAGAGCACGTGGGTGGTTATGGGAGTGATGAGAAGTGATTGATTTCTGGGTGCATTTTGGCAAGAACGTCTACAGGACTTGGTGATCCTGGGACATAAAAGAAGTATCATGGATGGCATGGATCTGTTTAGCCTGAGTAACTGCTAAAATGGAGGAAGCATTAACAGAAAGGAAGGCTGCAGTGGGAGGTGGGTTACATAGGAATAGCAGGAGTTCTGTTGAACAGATTCGAGGTGGCGATGCCTGTTGAGGCGTGAGTGGAGATGTCAAGGAATGGTTGGATACATGGATCTGAAGTTAGGGAAGAGATCCAGGCTAGAGGTGAAATGATAAATGACTTTTTAGGATATGTATATGCCATGCGATATTTCAATTACAGCAGTTTGTCCTGCATTTTTCTTTGCTAAATCCGGCGACTCTAGTTGTGGTGTACTTGGGAGGTAGTGATTAGGTGTCTCTGGCAAAAGACACTGGAAGAAATGGCCAAAAAGGAAAAACAGTTGGTGGTCTGAAAACCAGGACAAGAAGGGGTTTCCGGAAGAGAGTCACCAGCTGTGTCGAATGCTGCTGATAGATCAAGTGTGTTCAGGACAGAAAATGACTACTTATTTGAACCAAGTAGATGTCATTGGTTAATTTTTGGAAAAGGGTATTCATGGAATTGGGATAAGGTACACTTGCTTTCTAGTGGATTCAAGAGAGAAATGGAAAATAGAGAAAATTTTCACAAGGTTTGTTTTGTTTCTCTGTCTTCTTCTTCTCCTCCTCCTCCTCCTCCTCCTCCTCCTCCTTCTTCTTCTTCTTCTTTTTTTTAAGGGTCAATTCATGACTGTGAGATCAAGACCTGAGCTGAGGTCAAGAATTGGACACTTAACCGACTGAGGCACCCACACATCCCACGCAAGGAGTTTTCAGTAAAAAGACCAGAGGAATGAGATGGGACTAGGAGGAGTGAAATCTGGAGAGGATTTCCTTTGGGGATGGGAGCAATGACCCCTCATTTATATGCTGATAGGATGATGTAACATAAATTGATACAAGAGGAGAGGGAATAACTGAAGGTAGTGTGTTAGAATAGGGAGGTAGTGAGCGAGGGTACACATACTGTGTACGCACATTATATATAAAAACAGAAACCTACTCCCCATGCAGACAATGTCCTCATTCCTTGAGAGATCAAAAAAAGAGGCCAGTATGGGCTACCTTTGTTGTAGGATTTTGGCCTCTCAGGTCCTGACGGAATTCTTTGCTCTCCAGTGCCTTCTATCAGTAGTTTTGTGTATTCTCTCTACATTCTCAATGGAAGAGTTAGAACAAAAGTTTCAAACATATTCAGAAATAGATGAATTAATAAATGAACCCTCATGAACCCATCATTTAGCTGCAATAATTGCCGACACTTTGGTATCTTCTGTCATCTGTAGCCCACCCTCTTTCCTCTTTTTCCTCTTAATTATATTGAAGAAAATTCTAGACAATATTCCCCATACGTAACGTCGCATATATATATTTGAGCTTTATCTTTAAAGGATAGGGACTGTCTTTTTAAAAAAGACGCCTTATTATCGCACACATACAAAATTAATTAATTCTTTAACCACATATTTAGTCAGTATTCATATTTGCATGGTTTTCTTGTTGCACCAGATCATTAAAAAAATTTTTTTTAAAGATTTTGTATTTATTTATTTGAGACAGAGCAGGAGAGAGCATGAGCAGGGTGGGAAGGGGGCAGGAGACAAAGGGAGGAGGAGAAGCAGGCTCCCTGCTAAGCAGGGAGCCCAACGCGGGGGTTGATCCTTGGACTCTAGGATCATGACCTGAGCTAAAGGCAGAGGCTTAACTGACTGAGCCACGCAGAAGTGCCCCACATCAGACAATTTTGAGTAACAAAGTATTCTCATTCACAAGACTGTTGTAGGCCGTATTTATTAACAGAGCAGAAGTATATGGTAATGAACCAAAGCTGGCCAGCAAGTCAGTGTTAAGTACCTTTCTTCAGTGGGAGTCCTCATCCCTCCCGCCCACAGCCAGGTGACAAATCAGGATTAGCAGGACCAGATCCACAACTGGGGAAGTGAGAGAATCACTCAGATTGGTACAGTTTTCTATATGTATAGTTTCCGTGGTCCCTCAAAGGACATACTAATTACAAGATCACCATACTCAACAAAGGCCAGAGCTATAGTATTCCCTTCCGGTATTTATGGTATATTTTTAGTTCCTCCCAGTCCAGATGCAGTTTACCAACTAGAGGTCATTTTTGTCATAAGCAGTGTTGCCTGGCAACATAGATGATAGACCACCTTATGAGCTTGCTAAAGGAACAGCTAGGAAGTTACTTAACTTAGGGTTTAACTGAACATCAAATATGTGTGTAATAGGAAAGAGTTTTATCTTTCAACAAAAACAGCCATTTGAGGGATAGTTGACATAAAAGTAACTATAGGTTTTTGTAGTGTACAGTTTGGTAAATTTTGACAGGTACACATCTATGAATCCATTACCACATTCAAGATAGTGACTACTTGGGGCACCTGGGTGGCTCAGTGGGTTAAAGCCTCTGCCTTCGGCTCAGGTCATGATCTCAGGGTCTTGGCATTGAGCCCTGCATCAGGCTCTTTGCTCAGCGGGGAGCCTGCTTCTCTCTCTCTCTGCCTGACTCTCTGCCTACTTGTGATCTTTGTCTGTCAAATAAATAAATAAAATCTTAAAAAAAAAAGATAGTGACTACTTATACACATACCAACCTCAGACATTTTCTCAATCCTCTTTTATAATCTTTCTCTACATTATACAACCACCCCACCCCATCCCCAATGACAATTAATAGTTCATTCCTTTTTATTGCTGAATACTATTCCATTTTGAGGATATACCACAATTTTTTGATCCAGTCACCCATTTGTTGGCCATTTGAGTTGTTTTTAGTTGCGGCTATTACTTTTATTGTTGTTACTGTCAACAACAAGCAAAATGTATACTTCTATATTTCCTACTGTCTTTTTTTCATTAAAAAATTGTATTTACTTAAAAGCAATCAGAGTTTGCCACCCCTAGTGGTTATTGAAAATACCACCAGGACAGGGTCGTCTAAAGACACATTCGGTCGTGTGTTAACTATGCCAAAAGACACTATAGGGCAAACAAATCTTACACAGCCTTATGTTTCAATTTTTTTCTTTGAAAGGACTGAGTTGTATACAGGGAGTTAAATGCTTGATAGACAAGAAAAAAAAAACTGCTCGAGAACCAACTTATCGTCATCGTCATCTTCCTCATCTCCCTGGTCTTCCTTCTTTGTCTTGTGTTTTTTCAGCTTATCTGACTCCCTTTTTTGCCATCTCAGGCTTCCCTTGCGTGTCGTGTGCAGCAATATTCTTTTCATTTTTTCCCTCAGCTGAGTGGCCTTTTTGTGAGGCTGCTTGTCATCTGCAGCAGTGCTGCTCCTCGTCCTTCCCTGTCTTCTCCCCAACATAACCAATGGATAGGGCAGGATGTTCTCCTTTGATTTTTAGCCTATGGTCAGAGCAGAATAAAGAAAAGGCAGAAGGAGGCCAGTTGGTTGCGTTGGGATCCTTGAGTTTCTTTTTGGCTTCCTCTGTAGGGGGCATTTAAGTTTTACTTTCTCAGGTTGCACCCAGGCAACTTCAACTAATTTCAGTAGTGAAGCATCTGCCTTTGGCTCAGGTCATGATCCTGGGGTCCTGGAATTGAGCCCCTCATTGGGCTCCCTGCCCAGCGGGGAGCCTGCTTCTCCCTCTCTCCCTGCTTGTGTTCTCTCTCTCTCGCTTTCTTTCTGTCAAATAAATAAATAGGATCTTGGAACAAAAAGTTTTCATTTCTCTTTCATAACGGGCCTTGTCCACCTTTGCCATGTCTTCAAATTTTCCTTTCTTTATGGCAGACATGGTCTTCCACCTCTCCAAGCACTTCTTAGAAAACTCTTGAGAGGTTGACAGAAGCATCCAGATGCTGGTTCTTGTGCTCCTCTCCGCAAGTTTGCACAGATGAATGCATATGGTGCCATGTTGTTTCTCAGCTTCTTAGGACCTGCTCTGCCCATGATTAAGTATTTTCCTCAGCGAGGCACAGAATGATCAGTGCCCGGCTGGCTCTCACTTACCTCGGGGCCGTCTTTATGGAGCTTAGTGTACTGCAATGGCCATCCTACTGCATTTCTTTCTTTCTTTTTTTTCTTTTTAAAAGATGTTTATTTATTTATTTATTTGACAGAGAGAGAGATCACAAGTAGGCGGAGCAGCAGGCAGAGAGAGAGAGAGAGGAGGAAGCAGGCTACCTGAGGAGCAGAGAGCCCAATGCGGGGCTCGATCCCAGGACCCTGGGATCATGACCTAAGCCGAAGGCAGAGGCTTTAACCCACTGAGCCACCCAGTCACCCCACTACTGCATTCTTAACTAGAATGTATCTATGGGGAAAATTCCACCTCATCAACTTTTTGATTTCAGCTAAGGAGGGATTGTACTGGAAGGATGGCATTAATGCTCAGTGACCTTCTGTTTCAGATGAGTGTCTTGCCCATAGGAATGAATTGGTGATGTGGATTATGGTTCTTTCCTGGCCAGCAGAATTCCATTGCTCTACTTCAGTTGGGCTGGGCACCAGAGGCAAGAGGAGGAAGTGCCAGGGTCATCACTACTTGGTATGTACTGTGACTTCTTAGCGAAGCTCCCCCTGGGACTTAAGGGGATGAAGCAGTAGTTAAACGCAGGGGCTGTGACTCCCTAGATGCTACCTGCCAGGAAGGAGGGTGAAGGCTGAGGAGCCCTCTCAGCCTCTCACTTTTCCTACTTCCAGGACAACCAAACATTTCTAAGGGAGTTTCCTCACACAGAAACCCTGACTATAAAATGCCCTTTGCAGCCTCCCTGGCTGAGCTCCAAGCCGAGGCCAGCTGCCCCATCTGCCTGGATTACCTGAGAGACCCAGTGACCACTGACTGTGGGCACAACTTCTGTGGCTCCTGCATCCACCAGCGCTGGGAAGACCTACAGGACATCCTCCCCTGTCCCGTCTGCTTCCACCACTGTCCTGACAGGAACTTCAAGAGGAACGTGCAGTTAGGTCATGTGACCGATTTGGTCCAGCAGCTTCCCGCCAGGAGGAGCAAGAGGAGACTGCAGGAAGGGAAAGCCCTGTGTGAGCAGCACGGTCAGCCTCTGACCCTGTTCTGTGAGAAGGACCTGGAGCTGCTGTGTCCCCGGTGCAAGGTCTCCTCCGGCCACCGGGGCCACCCCCTGACACCCATCGAGGGAGCTGCGGCTGACCACAGGAAGAAGCTCAAAAGCTACATGGAGCCCTTGAAGAAGCAGCTTGAAGACACTGAAAAGGGGTTAGAAATGCAAGTCTCAGAATCATTTGAATTTCGAATGAGGATAAGAAATCAAAGGAGAAATTACACTCTGATTTTAAACAATTTAAGAGTTTTTTTTTAAGATTTTATGTATTTATTTTTAAAGATTTTATTTATTTATTTGACAGACAGAGATCACAAGCAGGCAGAGAGGTAGGCAGGGAAGGAGAGAGGAGGAAGCAGGCTCCCCACTGAGCAGAGAGCCCGACGCAGGACTCGATTCCAGGACCCCGAGATCATGACCCGAGCCGAAGGCGGAGGCCCCAAACCACTGAGCCACTCAGTGCCCCTATTTATTTATTTATTTGGGAGAGAGAGAGAGAGAGTGAGCATGAGAGGGGAGAAGGTCAGAGGGAGAAGCAGACTCCCTGCTGAACTGGGAGACTGATCCCGGGATTCCGGGATCATGACTGAGCCGAAGGCAGTCAAATTTAAGAGTTTTCTTAAAGAGGGCCTCCTGGGTGGCTCAGTGGGTTAAGCCTCTGCCTTGGACTCAGGTCATGATCCCAGGGTCTTGGGATCGATCCCCTCATGGGGCTCTCTGCACAGTGGGGAGCCTGCTTCCCCCTCTCTCTGTCTCTGCCTCTCTACTTGTGATCTCTGTCAAATAAATAAAATCTTAAAAAAAAAAAGAGTTTTCTTAAAGAGAAGAATTAAAATTGCAGATTGAAGAGAAAGCCATTCAAGAGAAACTGTATGAGAACAAAGTAAAATTCTCACAGCATGTGAGCATTCTAAAAGGTCCCTGTTTGAAATAATAGCAGATAGGTGTATAGTCAGAACAGGAGCTGCTCTCAGTTTTGAAACTATCTATAGGGCGCCTGGGTGGCTCAGTGGGTTAAAGCCTCCTCTTTCGGCTCAGGTCATGATCCCAGGGTACTGGGATCGAGCCCCGCATTGGGCTCTCTGCTCAGCAGGGAGCCTGTTTCCCTTGCTCTCTCTCCCTCTGCCTGCCTCTCTGCCTACTTGTGATCTCTGTCTGTCAAATAAATAAATAAAGTCTTAAAAAAAAAAAAAAAGAAACTATCTATAACCGGGGCACCTGGGGGGCCCAGTTGGTTAAGCATCTGCCTTCAGCTTAGGTCATGATTCCAAGGTCATTGGATCAAGCCTTGTGTCAGGCTCCTTGCTGGGAGCCTGCTTCTCTCTTCTACTCCCCCTCTCCTCTCTTGTGCTCTCTCCCTTTCTCTCTCAAATAAATAATCTCTTAGAAAAAAGAAAGTACCTATAACAGGCACGAAAACCTAAACGAACCAGCCTTCTTTTCATATGAATTCAAGAAAAAATATATTGGTTCTCCTGAATAATATTTTAACCTACAGAAAATTATCAGTCTGTTTAAGGTCAAATTGACCCTAAATATTGAAACTGCTCATCCCAATCTTATTATCTCAGAAGACAGAAAAAGTGCAACATTAGGAGAGGTGAAAACAAACTTTTCTTACAATCTCAGCAACTTTACTTTTTTACCAGCTGTCCTGAGTCTCCAGAGGGTTGTTTCTGGCAGGCATTATTGGCAGGTGGAAGTAAGAGGAAATGGTCAATGGGCTGTAGCTGTCTGTAGGAATCTTTTCCCAGAAATGCAGTGACCCCTGTCCCCCAAAGATGGATGCTAGTAAATCCAGTTCTGTCTGGTCCAAAAAGTCCAGGCGGATTGACATTTTTCTGGACTACGAGTTGGGGAAGGTTTAATTTGAGTAACAGTTCTCATATCTATACTTAACACTGATACATTTAGGGAAGAATTTAGGGCTTATGTCTTTTTTTTTTTTTAATTTAGGGCTTATTTCTATATTGGACCTACTTCAGACCTTACAGTATAGTAACTCATGAATAAAGAAATACCTGGGGGCTTCGCAGGTTGATATTTTTCTTTCTGTTATTCACACATGCCACTTGGAATGTTAATTATATAATTACTAATTGTTGGAATGATATGATCCCAAGAATTATGGTAATTTGGGCTTCGGTTGCATGTGGGTTTTACCTTTTTAAAAGTGATTCTATATTCACAGGAAATTGCAAAGATAGTGCAGTGTGTTGTGTTAACACCTAAAAGATAGTCATCTCTCTGAGAGATAGTGCCTCTCTATTTCAGTAACTATGATGTATTACTTAGCACGAACACTTCATATAAATGGTGCAGGAAACAAATGCAAAGTGCTTTTGTAATCCCAAAGTCAAATATATAAAAATTACAGGTTTTGGGATGTGTGGCTGACTCAGTCCACAGTGCATGTGACTTGATCTCGAGGTTGTGAGTTTGAAGCTCAAGTTGAGGATAGAGTTTACTTAATAAAAAATTTTTTTACATTATCTTTTCAAATTTTCATAAGTGCATTTGCAACATTTATAATTTTCCTATGTATTCTCCATTTCTAGAAATTCACCAGTTGATTGAATCAGTATTAAATTCTATGCTTTACAATATATTGAAGAAAATGGTCTTCTACTTTCGGTATTGTCAGATTTAGAAAAGCCCATTTTTTATTTTACTTTATGTTATTTTATGTTATGTTATTTTATTTTTTTGAGAAGCCCATTTAATGCCAGAAGGTTTTAGAGCACTTTTGCAGAACCCAGTGTGTATAGACCTTATTTTATTAATTAGTGGCCAGGATTACAACCTAAGCAAATTTATAAATACTCTTAAGGTACAAAAGTACCACAGTCAGTTTTTCATTTTGTCTTTGTTTATACAAGGTATTTACAGAATTCTGTTTATTTAGACTTGTCTTGGCATTTTTGAAAACCAGGTTCATATATAACCTCAAAACACCACATACTTGTGTTATATTACATTATGTTAAACTGTCATTTTAGAAAATACTTATATTTGGAATCCTATATGTATATTGTTTATAAATCTTGGTAATAAAGAGTTTTATTTTTGGGGGGCCTGGGTGGCTCAGTCTGTTGGGCGTGGGACTCTTGATTTAGGCTTGGCTAGTGATCTCAGGTTATGGGATGGAGCTCCCTTTCTGGGTCTGTGGTCAACATAGCATCTACTTGTCCCTTGGCCCCCCCCCCAACTCTCTCTCCAAAAGAGAGAAAATCTGTGAAAAAATTTCATTTTGTATATTTGTAGTTTATGTCTAAAATTTGAGGAAGATGCTCAGGAGAGTTTTTGGAACCCCTTTCTCTTCTTTCTTTCTTTTTTTTTTAAGATTTTATTTATTTGACAGAGAGAGACAGCGGGAGAGGGAACACAAGCAGGGGGAGTAAGAGAGGGGAGAGGGAGAAGCGGGCTGCCCACTGAGCAGGGAGCCCAATGCGGCTCTCTATCCCGGAACCCTGGGACCATGACCAAAGTTGCTTAATGACTGAGCCACTCAGGTGCCCCTGGATCCTTTTTGATGAGGTAGGAGGAACCCCTATGTTGATCAGGACAGTGTGTAGCGCTTATCTCAGCTGCTTGGCCAGATAAAACATCCTACTTTTTCATGTAAAGTGTGGATTTGAAGGGCACTGCTCTAGTACTCCACCCAGCAATTAAACTCCATCCATCACAGGTGTGATCTCTCAGCACTGTCACTGCAATTAGAAAGGGCATTAGAATGACAACACTGAGGCTGAAAACCAACAGCAGGAAGTGACATGCATTTTCAGTTATTCCATTTTCTAAAATTAATTGCAAAGCCCCACTTATCTGGAAGGTGGCTGGAAAGAATACATTAATATGAGGTGAAAAGCCATCATTTGCCACAATTCTTGATTCCAATTAGACATCAGTGAAACTCACATTAATAGTGCTAGAATTTGCTAGAATTAAAACTCTCCAATTATAACTTGTGAATAGATTGACGCAGAAACTGGTAATAGTTTTGGCTTCATTTGACAGCAGTTACTCAATAACTTCACCCACATCAGAGATGTTTCTTTTTAAGCAAAATAAGCATTAAAACACTTCTCAGTGGGAGAATTATAAAGCATTATTATAATGAAATCCTGGTGAGTCATTAGAAAAGTTGTTGAGAGTAACGTCTAAACAGATTGGAATGAGAGGGGAAAAAAATTTCTTAATTGGCCAAGGCTTCTGTGGGTAAGGAGCCCAGAAGCTACTTAAATGACACGATAAAGGCCAGGGATAAGGTTGAGTTAAAGTTAGAGCGAAGGTTTTCCTCTTCTGGGGATGGCGTCCGTAGGCATTAAGAATGGTCCAGCGTTTGACCTACCGTCGTAGGCTATCCTATAATACAGCCTCTAATAAAACTAGGCTGTCCCGAACCCCAGGTAATAGAATCGTTTACCTTTATACCAAGAAGGTTGGGAAAGCTCCCAAATCTGCATGTGGCGTTTGCCCGGGCCGACTTAGAGGAATTCGTGCTGTGAGACCTAAAGTGCTTATGAGGTTGTCTAAAATGAAAAAAACATGTCAGCAGGGCCTACGGTGGTTCCATGTGTGCCAAGTGAGTTCGTGACAGGATCAAACGTGCTTTCCTTATCGAGGAGCAGAAAATTGTTGTGAAAGTGTTGAAGGCAAAATCACAGAGTCAGAAAACTAAATTAAAAAAAAAAAATGAAACTGTTTTGAGTAATAAAAATGTCAAAAGGCTTGATCTGTTATTGCTGTTGTAATTTGTTTAGTATACCCATTTCTATGGTGTTTGGGGATTTCATTATTTTTAGGTGATTGCTTTTTCTGAAACACAGGAAATGGAGGTCAGTGATAGGTAGAATTTTTTGATGGCAGCTATGGAAGACTTGGACAGTTTGAGAAAAGTGGCCCTTAAAATATCTGGATGTTTCTTTTAATTCCTCTGAATAATTTCCATAGAGTCTCCTTCAGCACCAACATTGACAGGACAGAATTCCAGTGTTCAATAAGTTACTTGGAATGGAATCTTTTACACCATCTTATTTAAACCTTCCGTTTCTTTAGATCAGTTCAAAATGGTCTATTTTGGAGAGCTCAGAACTTCATATTTAGCAAACAATGAGCTCTTATATACGAAACTTGTCATGGATCTAATGAAATTCAAACTCTGGTTGATGTTGAATTTATAATCAGTTCAGAAATTAAAGTAACAGACCTTGGTTACATTTATTCTTGAAAGCTGTGTGATATTTCTAACAACTCTTAATAATATAAAAGTATGTAAAGAGTGAGAGTAGCTCATTCTTACAGTGCTTAGATGGTACCAAGCATTTTCTAATATTCTACATACATTAGTTCATTTGAATTGCCTTCCAAGACCATTTTTTCAGATCATGTCAAGCTTATTTTTAATCTCAGGGGAGCGTAGAGAGCAGAGGCAGGCTACTTGCACAAGCCAAGAAATCTAGTCATCAGAAGATATTTCTATATATTTTGACCCTTTTCCTCAATCTAGGTGTTCTGTTACTGGCATGATGTAACTTAGATGTCTCAGGCAGAGGAGTGTTTCCGCTTATAAATGACCGCCCTTTTAAAGAGGAAAGGTGTCCTGGAACTAGTAAGTGGCTAAGCTGGCACAGGAACTCCAGCAGTAAAGAATTTCTAACCCTGGCTTTGCCATGTGTGACACTTCAAAATACTTCATGTCTTCTTTGAGTCCCTTTAACAACCCCGTGACACCTATGTTATCCCCAGTTTGCAAATAAGGAAACGGAGGCACACAGGTTATATAATAGTACCCAGAGCCATTTGTTTGTAGGATCTTTGCAAATGATACACTTAGTGGTTGAAATCAAATGACTGTCACTCCCCACAAAGACAAATGATAGCTGAGGCCCCTATTGTCAGCCTAGTCTTAATTGAGATCCACCAGGTAATAGAGTTACCTTCTGTAATGTTTAATCATGATACAAAATAAGATTTCTAATGGGGTTATAAGGAAAATGTGGAATTCTGAGGTAGATGAAACAGTCATTTCACTGACTTAGGCTAACCCATACTACAGGGACAAGTTTGGTGATTTGGTGTGTGTGCTGTATAAGAATGTGAAAGTGAGTATGTGTAAAATAACATTAAAAAACAATGTCTCAAAAATAAATAAATAAAGTTAGAGCAAAAACACAGGGGCGGTTCTCCTTTGCCTTGTTTTGATAAGCACAAAATTCATTCACCATGGTTAATTAAATAACACAACATACAGTTACCACAGTGTGTGTGTGTGTATACACACAAATTATATATGTGTATATATATATACACATATATAATTTTTTAAAGATTTTATTTATTTGAGAGAAAACAGGAGCCCGGGGCGGGGAGGGGCAGAGGGAGCAGTATAAGCAGACTCCCTGCTGAGCGGGGAGCCCCATGTGGGGCTGGGTCCCAGGACCTGGAGATCATCATGACCTGAGCCAAGGGCTGATATTTAACAGACCGAGCCACCCAGGAGTCTCTACAGTTAGCACAGTGTATTAACTGTGATTCCATAAAGTTCAAACTATATGGACCCTGAGGGCAGGGTCTCTAGCCACAGAGGATGACTCTGAAGTCTTGAAACTGAAAGGCATTTGCTTACTGGATTTCAGAATTGCCTGGAACCAGTGACCCTTAAGAACTTCAGCACAAATGCGTGCAGCCACAACCCTGGTCTTCTGCCCAGCACACTCTCTCAACAGTGGAGCTCCTACGTTTAGCTATTTTTGCAATCTAGATAGGTCGAGCCCTCCTAAATCATCAAATTCTCGTTCCCTTTTTTCTTCCCTCAATTTGCTTTTTTCCTCTCCATTTTTCTGTAAGCGGCAAGAAGGGAACCAGGTTGTCCCTTCAGTACATTGCTTGGCAACCTCAGCTAAGTATTCAAGTTCATCACGTTCAAGTTCTGCTTTCCGCACAACTGGAGGACACATTCAGCCATGTTTTCCCCTGCTATATGACAAGAATTAACTTTCCTCCAGTTTAGAATAACATGTTCCTCAAATCCTTTTTTAAAAAATTTAACTTAATTTTTATTTTATTATTATTATTATTTAAAAAAATTTTTTTAAAGATTTTCATTAGTTATTTGACGGACAAAGATCACAAACAGGCAGAGAGAGATGAGGAAGCAGGTTCTCTGCTGAGCAGAGAGCCCGATGCGGGACTCGATCCCAGGACCCTGGGATCATGACCTGAGCCAAAGGCAGAGGCTTTAACCCACTGAGCCACCCAGGCGCCCCTTATTGTTATTTTTTAAAATAGACTCCATGCCCAGCATGGAGCCCAACGCAGGGCTTGAACTCATGACCCTGAGATCAAGACCTGATCTGAGATCAAGAGTTGGACCCTTGGGATGCCTGGGTGGCTTAGTGGGTTAAGCATCTCCCTTCGGCTCAGGTCATGATCCCAGAGTCCTGCTCAGCGGGGAGCCTGCTTGCTCTCCCTGCTTGTGTTCTATCTCTCTGACAAATAAGTAAATAAAATCTTAAAAAAAAAAAAAGAGTTGGATTCTTAACCCAGGTGCCCCTTTTAATTTAAATTTTAACCTT